TGATAATCTGATAATTTTTATTATAAAATCATTAAAAATTCATTAACTCGTTAATCCAACAATAATAAACCAATAACATTTTTTCAGTTCGATTTATTGGTTCGATTTTTGCACATTGGAGTCAGAACATGGGAAGAGACCTTCGCACACTCCTATTGGAGTCAGAACATGGGAGGAGAAAGATTAGGAGAGATAGGGGTGGGCATAAATATCGGAAAACCGAACCGAATCGAACTAATTCAGTTCTTCAGTTTTTCGGTTCGATGTCGGTGTTATTTTTTTAGAAGTTCGGTTTTTTGGTGTAAGGGTCTCAAAACTTTGGTGCACCGAAAAACCGAACTTTTATTTTTTTTAAATTAAAAATTAAAATATATATATATATGGGTATTCTCTTAACTAAAAATTAAAAATTCAATCAACAATTAAATCATTCATGAACAAATCAAAGTAACACCAAATGTACAATTCAATAGTTAACTTGAAATATTAATTTTCAATCGAAACTCAAACATATTTCTACCAATGTACATTATGTAAAGGAACCATCTTCATACTTGTTTTTCTCGATAAATTGTTGGAGGCACAATGTTCTTGATAAAGACAAATATAGTCTTTTAGTTAGCACAATAAGTGTTCCATGGTAATACGCATCATTTCTTAACATAGTTTTAAATTTCTAAGTATCTTATACTATATCCTTATTTTATTTTTCATTCACACCGAAAAATCGATTTAAAAACACCGAACTAAACCGAACCGAATTAGTTTGGTTTAATATACGGTGCACACTTTTCTAAAATCAAAAACCAAAAAACCGAACCGAAGTTTGATTAAACCGAATCGAAGAACCGAACTTCCACCGCTAAGGAGAGACATTGAGCTGATTTGGAGTGAAAACAATAAACTAAGGAGATAATTAAGTGTGTAAGACTCTATTTTAGGAAATAATTAAGTGGTAGAATTCTATTTTAGGAAAATAATAAAGTCGAAGGACTTTATTTTATGGAAATAAGAATAAATTAGGAAGATAATTAAGCGGGTAAGACTCTATTTTAGAAAAATAATTAAGTGGTAATCTCTATTTTAGAAAAATAATTAAGTGAGAGGACTTTATTTTAGGGAGATAATTATGTGGGAAAAACTCTACTTTAGCTATTTTAAAGAAGTGATGTATTTTAATGTATCTGAATCCATATGATATACAATTAATAAATGGGAAAAGGACAAATATACTCCCGAACTATCGTAAATGATATGCAGATACCCTTCGTCATACTTTTGGGATATTGGTGCCATTGTCGTCCAAAAACTAGAGCATATATACCCTTTATACTAACGGGTATACACATGTCATAATATTATCCACCGACCCAACATTTATTAAATATCGGATCGACAGATAAGATTGCGCCACGTGTCCTTATTTAGTCTTTCGTTAGATTGAATGACATATATGCTCTAGTTTTTGAACGGCAGGGGCACCAATGTCCCTAAAGTATGACGGAGGGTATTTGCATACCATTTACGATAGTTTGATGGTATATTTATCTTTTTTCTCATTAATAAATAATTATTTAAAAGCTTAAATTGAATTAGTAGATATGATATAACTGTACATCTAATTAGACATTTTTTCCAAAAATACTTACAAAACCATTTAAAAATTGTTAGCCTAATAATTCAATACTGATAAATTAATACTCTAATATTTTTTTCAGTTCGATTTATCAATTAATTCAATTTTTACATATCTACTTATAATCAAGGAAGTAAATTAACAATCTTAATTTCTTAGGTTCAATTCTTAATTAAAAAAATGTGAGTGCTAATTTTTTTAATGGTGATTAGGTGTGTTCACGGTTTGAATAAAAATGGATTCAAACCAAATCAAATCGATTAAATAAATCGATTTTATTTGGGTTAGGTGTGGTTTGATTTTAGATTTTTAAAAATCGATATTATTTGGGGATATTATGGTTTTGTTCAAAAAAATCCAAAGAAATAACCGAACCGAACCGACAATATTATATACATATATTTTATTATTATATATACATAATATATTATTTTTACAAATTATTTTAAAGATCTTATATGTGTTTTCATCAAGATTTATTTATAATTTACTTATGAAAGCAACAATGCCAAGGTGATAATATTTATCTTATTACTTTCATGTATATGAGTGTCTATGACAATTTTTTATGAGATTGAAAATGTCATAGTAAATTCAAGTGAAAATTTCTAATATGACATATATTATACTAATATTTTCGAGTTATAGCAGTAGATTTAGACTTTCAAGTTATAATATTAAAAATTTCAAGTTGTAACAAATTATTTTTTTAAAAAAGTTATTTTTAATAATTAAAAACATTTGATTTGAAAAGAATAAAAAGATTTAAAAAAATTAAAATAAAACGTTTCTGAAGGAAAAAAATGAAAAAAACGGAAATAGGGATGACAATTAAATTTGAATTAATTTAAGATAATTATTAATTAGCATGAATTAAGGAATTTCAAACTAATTAAGAATATTCAGTTTCCTTAATTCACTCCAAATTTGTTAAAAATTAATTTAAAAATCTGATTTTATCCATTTTTCTTTCACGTTTCTGTCTCTTCGATTTTCTTCCAGAAATTGTCACTGGCGACAAATTGAATTTTTTTTTTGGTTTGAAAAAGCCTGTTTTTTTTGTGATGGACAACTACGTAAAGAAAATTTGAATTGATTGATGATAATTATTAATTAGAATAAATTTAGGAGATTCAAACTAATTAGGAATATTTAGTTTCCTTAATTCACTCTAATCTGTTAAAATTAATTAAAAAGTCTGATTTTATCCATTTTCTTCTACGTTACTCTCTCTTAGTTTTTTTTTTTCTATTTGTTGTGATGGACGACTGCTTATCTATATTAATTAAAGATGGTGGTAGATAGGATCCTTCAGGTTGAATAAATGTTGGTATGAATAATTGGACGTCAACTATATACAGTTTGGATACCAATTATATGGTGTTCATTTTGATCTCCAATTAAATAGCAAAACTAAACTGTTTATGTATCCAATTGTTATGTAGTTTGTATATAACTGATATCCAAAAAATTGTATCCAATTGATATGCAGTCTGTATATAACTAGTATCCAGAAATTATGAGAGTCAATCTGTAATGCATATGTAGTTGATAACTGACTTGAAGAAAACAGTGCATATTCTATATCATTCAATACTTAAACTGTATCAAAAAAATATATATATCGTTCAAAAGTTAAAAAGAACATGAAATACTAAAGAGTCTAAGCTGCAATCAACTATCTCAAATTTGATCTCTGTAGTCTTGGTGTAGGATAATTGCTGGTATCTGGAGCATGTTCTTTTGCTATGCGGGATCCATCAAATTTGCTAGCAACAGTCCTAGTTACTTCACTCTCACTGATCGCGTCATCATCATTCTTTGTTTTTCCGCATTGTCATCAACCTTGTTGGAGAAATTGAAAAAGAAACCTTCTTATTATAAAAAAAATAGGCATTATAAGAAAATACCAATTTCATACCAACATTAGTCATAATTTATACAAAAAAAAAAGGGTGATTTAACAAACTACAATCAATTCACATAATTGGACCACAGATATCATACCATTTTTTGAAAAAAATAATACACAACTTAAGTCAGCTTTCATACCAACAATAAATCAATTTCATACCAATGTTAAAACACATTTCATACCATATTCATAAATCGTATATTAAATCAGCTTTCATACCAATATTATTCATGTTTCATGCCAGTTTAGTAGACAGAATGAGAATAATTTGAA